GGGGACATGGTGCAGGAGGGGCAGAGATCATACAGGGAGGGAATGATGTAGAGGGAGACACAAAGTGCTCTGAGTTGGCCCCTCCCCCTGTAGGGTGATACATAGAGAAGGGTGCTGTGAGTTGGCCCCTCCCCCTGCTGGGTGTCACAGACTCCGCCCACTTACCGGGTGAGATGACGCTGAGCTGGGATGACGCCGCCACCTCTCCGTACACATTTCGGCCATGACAGGTGTAGGTTCCGGCGTCACGTTGGCGCACGTTGTGGATCTGCAGCCAGCCGGTCACATGATGTCTGTGAGGACCCCCCCGAGACTGAGGAGAGAGAATATGGGGGGCTCATGAGTACCAGAAATCAGGGGGGCTTCCTGTGTATATAGGGGACTTCCTGTGTATATAGGGGACTTCCTGTGTATATGGGGGACTTCCTGTGTATATGGGGGGTCCCTGTGTATATGGGGGACTTCCTGTGTATATGGGGGACTTCCTGTGTATATGGGTGGGTGGCTTTGTATATGGGGGGTCCCTGTGTATATGGGTGGGTGGCTGTGTATATGGGGGGTCCCTCTGTATAGGGGGCCCCCTGTATATGGGCGTCCCTGTGTATATGGGCGTCCCTGTGTATATGGGGGGGTCCCTGTGTATATGGGGGGCCCCCTGTATATGGGCATCCCTGTGTATATGGGGGTCCCTCTGTATAGGGGGCCCCCTGTATATGGGGGTCCCTGTGTATAGGGGTGGGTGGCTGTGTATATGGGGGGTCCCTCTGTATATGGGCGTCCCTCTGTATAGGGGGCCCCCTGTATATGGGTGTCCCTGTGTATATGGGGGTCCCTCTGTATAGGGGGCCCCCTGTATATGGGGGTCCCTGTGTATAGGGGTGGGTGGCTGTGTATATGGGGGGTCCCTCTGTATATGGGCGTCCCTCTGTATAGGGGGCCCCCTGTATATGGGCGTCCCTGTGTATATGGGGGGTCCCTGTGTATATGGGGGGTCCCTGTGTATATGGGGGGTCCCTGTGTATATGGGCGTCCCTGTGTATATGGGGGTACCTCTGTATAGGGGGCCCCCTGTATATGGGGGGTCCCTGTGTATAGGGATGGGTGGCTGTGTATATGGGGGGTCCCTGTGTATATGGGGGTCCCTGTGTATAGGGGGGGGTCCCCCTGTGTATACGGGGACTGTGGACCTGTGTACCTGGACGATGATGTGGCCGCTGTCCCCCGGGAGGGGCCCCTCAATGCCGTCCTTCCTCCATTCCAGTTCCGCCACTGGCTGAGCTGAGACCTCACAGCCCAGAATCACCGTCTGACCAATCACAGCGTCCGTATCCCGCGGGGAGCTGAGGAGGACCGGAGCTGGGGAGAGAGGAGACAATGTCACATTACACAGATCCCCCCTTCCCCCGCCTTCTCCCCCATTGGCCTCCAGCTGAGGACCTACATCCTGAAACATGTTAGTCAGGTTCCTGTGGCCCCCTCGCTCCTTCTCTGGGGCCCCTCTGTCTGGAATTTATATTGGAGGTTACAATCTTTGCTGGAATTCAGTAGGTGTGGCCCCCTCAGTTGACAAAATACCCCCCCCCCCCCGAAATATTGAGTCCCCCCGATTCATCCGAGTCCACCATGATGGAAGAGATCCCGCCCATGAGGACATATGGGGGAGGACCATGGCAGAGGACAGACCTCACTTCTCCCATCATCATTGAGCCCTCGTCTCCAAACCCCCCCACAAAATCCATGTCCCTCCTAGACTGGCCACACCCCCTTGTAAGGTCCTCCTGCAGCCGCCATGACACCTGGGCCCCGGGGGGAGACTACAAAGGCATTATGGGCTGGGCATGGAGAGTCATGGGACATGTAGTTCTATGGTACCGGCTAGCCTCAGGTTCTATGGTACCGGCTGGCCTCAGGTTCTATGGTGCAGGCTGGCCTCAGGTTCTATGGTACCGGCTGGCCTCAGGTTCTATGGTGCAGGCTGGCCTCAGGTTCTATGGTACCAGCTGGCCTCAGGTTCTATGGTACAGGCTGGCCTCAGGTTCTATGGTACCGGCTGGCCTCAGGTTCTATGGTGCAGGCTGGCCTCAGGTTCTATGGTACCGGCTGGCCTCAGGTTCTATGGTACAGGCTGGCCTCAGGTTCTATGGTACCGGCTGGCCTCAGGTTCTATGGTACCAGCTGGCCTCAGGTTCTATGGTACCGGCTGGCCTCAGGTTCTATGGTACCGGCTGGCCTCAGGTTCTATGGTACCGGCTGGCCTCAGGTTCTATGGT